CCCGCGACCCTGCTAGGCTGCGGCGGCATGGCCCGCGCGCCCGGCGCGACCTCTGCGGATTGCATCGGTGTGAGGCGGCGGGGCATGCCCAGGGCACCGGGCGCGGCCTTCAATGGGCGAGGACACGGACACGCGGAAAATTAACCACAGCTTCCTGCGGGACCACAGCTATGTGACAGAAGGTAACGTACGTGTTGTCTGAGACCCCCTCCGGCCGGCCGCGGCGTGGGGATGCCGTCGCACCGAATGCCCTCCGAAGGTTTGGACCGCGCGCTGTGTGTCGTGTCCCCCCCACCCCACCCCGACCCCGGGCCGGGAGGGAGGGACCCGGGAGGCTCCGACCGCTGCCCAGCGCCCTCCTCCGTGTGGCCCTCGGGAACGCAGCTGTCCTTCCCCCGCCGAGTGGCACTGGATCGGGCCCTGACTATCATTTACAAAGCCCAAGCCTGCAGCAAATCTGCTGTGGAAATCTCCGGGACGTGGAAAGGCGTAAAAATCCTTCATTTGCCCTTTCAGCCTGATCAGAGCCCGCAGAAATTTCTAGATTGCCCACTCTCTGGAGAGGGACCCAGGGGGAAAAATTCCATTGCCAGATCCTCCAGGGTTCAGCTGCCCTGGCACCTCCCTGGCCTCCAGAGGCGGATCCCCTGCGTGGGAGGGGGAAGGAGGCTCGTTCCGGCTACTGTTTTATTCCTGGGTAGTGCTACTAAGACAGGAGCTGAGCTAGACCTTTATGGTTTTCCGAAAAAGTGGGGCATGCTACTCCAAATAGCCTCTGCGTTTAAAACCCCCTAAGTTGGCCCTGTGCGTCAGTCCCCACCAAAGGCTGGTGGGATGCAGAGGATCGGTGCCCTTTGCTAATGTGACAGTAACTTCCGGGGTCCCCAGGCCTGTCTTGGCCGCAGGAACGGTGGGGACAGCTCGAGCCCGCAGCCAAGGGCCGGAGGAGTGGGAAAGCGAGACCTGGCTATAGCGCCCCACGGGGACCCTGGCGCTGGAGACCTTCCCAGGCAGTGTAGGCGCCTCCCGCTGGGGGGCTGCGGGCCTGGCCCAGGGGTGTCGAGGACTTAAGCAGGTGGCTGCCCCGGGTGGGAGGGGCCCTGGTACCGAGTCCCGGGGGCCGGTGTGCGTGGGTGCCTGCTCCAAGGAACCTGCGTGGGCCCAGCCTCCCCGGTGCTGAGCTCTGCCGGAAATGAGGCGGGCGCGGCGACTCCCGGCGGGTGCGCGGACCCGGGAGGCAGAGGCTAGGTGTGCGACCCAGGCGTGTGGATGCTGAGGGCGGCGCTCAGCGCGCCGGAGAGAACCGCTGAGTCACGCGTTGCCGCGGGATGTGCGGGGAGAGGGGGCAGGGCTGCCAGGCCTGGGCTGGGTGGCGGCACTGCCCTAACTCGGCTTTGGGAGGCCCCTGGCGCAGAACTCAGTCCTTTGTCGCCCGCTGGGTGATGTGGAGGAGGGTCGCACTTCGTGAAGATGATCTTCTGCTCACAGCCTGCCTAGCGGCAGAAGGCAGCCTGCGTGGCTGGCGGGCTTCGGGGCTTCTTGGCAGGGAGTCGTGCGCAGGGGCAGTGTTGGTCGGGCTTTCTTGGGGGAAAGCCTCAGTTATTTTTTCCACCTACACAGTGGGGATGAGCCAGTGGGCCTCAGAGCTTAGGTGTAACAAACACAAAATGCATGGTGCCCACCTCACTGGGGGACAGTTCAAAGTGTTGCTCCCATCTGCATCCTACTTCCTCTTCCTCAATAAAACCACCTGGGCAGGGTCTGCAGGAGGAGTAAGAACCATCATGGTTCAGCAATTGTTGCTGCTGCTGTGATCCCCTGAACCTTCATATTCCAACTTGGGGCTGGATGGAGGTCCCCTGCCCTTGTCCATCCTGTGTTCTAGCAATGAGCTCTGTGACCTGTAGGGGAGTCTCTTCTCATGTGCCTCAGTTTCTCGTATCCGTACAGACCCTCCCCCGCAAGCCTTCAGGCTATGAAAATGGGGTGAGATGGTGAAATGTATTGAGCATCTGTTGTGTCCCAGGGCTTCTTGTAGGGCCTGGTGGAAGTCTCATCATGAGCTCTGGGTATCGAGCAGTGTGTGTGGGTCCAGTTAGACTCTTAACTGAAAGGGCACGAGAACTGTGGCCACCTTAAATGAAGACAAGACCCCATACACACACAAACCCCAGTCACACTATGGAGTCCTGATTTATGCTCTGAGTTCAAGGTCAGGCACGGATTTGTCAGCTGGCAGATTGACTTGTGTTCAGGTTCTGTTTATGGCTCACCAGCTGCTGAGCTTCCCCATGAGTCACTAAAACTCCTTGGGCTTCGTTTGGCTGCTCTGTAAAGAGAAAAGTCACAGTGACCTCTGTTTGAGGATTGTGGAGATGACAGTGACCTCTGTCTCAGGATTGTGGAGATGACAGTGGTCCTAAGAGTGTCAAGTGCTCACAGGAAGGATTGGGCTCTCTGGGGGCATTTAATAAACCACTCCAGCTTCCTGTCCTCATAGTGGATGTTGAGATTCACTTTGTAAAAACCCAGGTGTATGCCTTCCCATCCCACCTGGAGGTAGGTCCTTGCTTACTTAGACATACCAACTATGTGATTTACTGTTATTCCTTAAGCTTGCCATTTTCTTCCTGACTCTGGGGCACTGAACTGTTTCTGTCTTCTTTCTGGAATGCCCCCAACGCCCCACCCCCAACCCCGCGCTCCACTTCTCAAGACCAACCCCTACTAAACCCTTGAATCCCAAGTCCAATGTCATCTTTGCTAGTGAGAGCCCTGCCTAAGTTCCAGAGTCTCCTAGCAAATCCTAAATATCCTCAGAACAGTCAGAGTTCTGTTAGCCATTCATACTGTGGTGGTTTGAATGAGAATGGCCCCCATAGGCTCATATATTTGAATGCTTAGCAACCCAGGAGTAGAATTAGTATGATAGGATTGGAAGGGTTAGGAGGTATGTCCTTGTTGGAGGAAGTGTGTCACTGGGGGGCTTAGAGGTTTCAAAAGCCCATGCCAGACCCTTCTCAGTCTCTTCCTGCAGATCAGGATGTAGCTCTCATTTACTTCTCCAGCAACATTCCTGCCATGCTCCACCTCAAAGATAATAGACTAAGTCAGCTTTTGAGACTGTAAGCAAGGCCCCAGTTAAATGGCTTTTCTTATAAGAGTTGCTGTGGTCATGGTGTCTCTTCATAGCAACAGAACAGTGACTAAGTCAGAGGTTGGTACAAGGGAGTAGAGTATTGCTGTGACAGGCTTCACCATGCTGTGTGTTGGAGGAATAGGAATGACTTTGGGATTTGGGACTAGAAAAGTGATTGAACACTTTAAGCAGGGCTTAAGGGTCCATCCTATTAGGAACAAGGAAAACAATGCTGAGGGCAATTTGACCTGTGGAGGTCCAGCTCAAGAGGTTTCAAAGGGGAAGAGTATTATTAGTAAGTGGCCTAAAGACCATTCTTGGGATAGTTTGGCAAGGAATGTGGCTGTTTTTTGCCCTTGTCCTAAAAGTCTGCCTGAAGCTAAGTTGAAGAGTTTTTGGATTAATGGTGTTGCCAGAGGAGATTTCAAGACAGCTAGTATTGACTCTGTCATGTGGTTATTAGTAATCACTCTTATGCAGCTCTACCATGAAAAGAAGCGAGCTGGACAAAGAGAAATACAAAATGGACAGTTTGAGGAGAAAAGGAGCACCAGGAAGTAGAATGGCACCCGGTGAAGTGTCCAAGGAGATGGAAAGTTTAAATAAAAGCCTGATGCTAAATGGAATAAAGGGAGTGATAACCTCAGGGCGACTCCCCACACAGCTAATGTTCCCACTTGTGAAAGGGAATTAAAGAAAAGCTTAAGCACGGAAGGAAACAGTAACAGAAAAAGCTGATACAAATGTAACTGAATGAGAGGACCAAGTTTCAGCCCCATCAACTGCAGAACTTGGCAGCTTTCACTGGTCCTGGCTTTAGAGTCAAGAATCTGAGCAAAGGGTTGTGGGATCTACTTCAGTGACTAAGGAAAGTTACTGAGGCCAGGTGTGTGTCAGGGGTGTCCCTAAGTAAGAGGCCCATATAGGTCACTGCATGAAGCTGTGAATGTGAAGCCTGCATTGCCTTGGAAACCTCAAGATGTTGGAGATGTTAGAGTCATGGGATACGTGCTGAGGGAAACTTCAGGCTGGGTGTGGATCCACCTCATGAGAGAGAAGTGCTACAGTTAACAAAGCTGGAAGGTGGTGTTGGCTTTTTTTTTTTTTTTTTTTTTTTAACTCTTTTCCCTTTTGGGGGTCCCCGCCACCTTGCTCCCAAATAAATCACACACAGAGGCTTATTATTACTTATGAATGCCCGGCTTTAGCTTGGCTTCTTTTTAGTCAGCTTTCCTTAACTTAAATGATCCCATCTACCTTTTGCCTCTTTTCTTACTTCTGTATATCTTACTTTCACTCTTACTTCGTGGTGGCTGGCTGTGTGGCTGTGTGGTTGACCCCTAACATCCTCCTCTCCTCTCCTTGTTCTCTTACTCCTTGGTCCCTCTCTTC